TTCTTCTTCTTCTTCTTCTTCTTCTTCTTCTTCTTCTTCTTCTTCTTTTGTTGTTGTTATATAAACTGATATGAAGGCATCTGATTCTATTCCACTTTTCAGTTTCCTTTGGAAAGTCAATATAGAGGTTCATTTGGATCATCTTCAAGTGGAATCCCTAAAGAAATGCAGTTAATTGCTGGATTAATTGAACCAATCTTCTTCTTTCTTTAAAGGAGAGGATCCAAGACAGCCCTTCGCCTGCTCCATCTGTAGAAGAGAGCCAGCGACCTGGGAGCCACGCCTCTTCCCACCAGAGTAGCAGTGTTTCAAGCTCTCCATCCCAAATTGACAACACACCAGATAGAATTGGTTTGTACTGTCTCACTCTTTGACCGCTTTGAATTTAGGAACAGCCCTGTGGAAAACGGGAGACAGGGATTGCTGTGGGCAGTGAACCTATATCTGAAAATAGTTATACACAGGGAAGGGGAAAGGAAGAGAATGAAACAAACCTACGTATGCTGGAGACCATATTGTGCAATAAATTGCCAGTCAAGATGAAACCATCCATTATGACTTTAGGAGGGGATGAAAATGTGTATTTTCCAGGCATTTTTAATGCTGATGTTTTAGTTCAGTTCTTAGGTTTTGGATCTGTTAAGTTTTAGATTTTAATAGACTTTTTCCCTCAGTGCTTTGTAGGATATTTATGTCCATATTTTACTTTGAAGAATAAAATTTCACACAACGTCCCATTGAAGTTTTGAATTCAAAATGGTCTCTTTCTTTCAGAATATTTGCAAGCATCTTAAGCTTGAAACAGATCTGTTCTGCTTCTAAAATATTCAGGTCAACCTGCGTCACCCTCAAGATTGCAGTTCTACCCTAAATATAGGAGGTTTCATAAAATGCCATACCTGAAATGTTAATGAAATTATTTACTTTCTCTTCCCAAATTATAGAATTATGAAAATGGTGGAAAAGGATGGAATGGAGACTATGTGGCCATATTTGACGTAGATATTTTGAAATATTTAAATGCCAGCAGGTCAATATCCATAATAGATTGTTGGATTTATAGTCAAAATTGGGTTTAAATAACTTAGAATGCATTAAGGATAAACGATGCAACATTATGATCAATAAAGACATAAATATTTCCCAAAGTCATGATGATATTACATTTGTATGATTTTCCAGGTATTGGGTTGTTGTTTTCAAAATGTTCTTTCAACAGGACAGATGTTGGTTTTCGAGCTAACATCCATCAGCTCTGATTGTTAACCATCTTGCTGACTGTATTAGGCAAGAAGAATTTGCAGGAAATAAACTCTCTACTCTGTTAAAGGCATTTTTCATCCTAAATCATTTGGAATGAATCGGTCTGGTTAATTAGTTTATTTTAACCTTTGGGATGGTGGGGAGCACAAAACGTCTGGATTTTCTTCATATAGTTCTCTCCAACCTGGTTACACCTCAGAGAACTCTTTCCAAGAACTTAGTTGTAACTTTGAACGGCTGTTAAGGGAACAGTTGTGTGTTGAGATTGAAAGCCATATAAATTGTTAATAACTAAATAAATACATGTCCTAATTTATCTTGCAATGGCATGGTTAGCACAGACATCCTGGCAATGGAGAGGGAAAACTGAGGTCAGCTGACATGTAAATTCCTTTTCAGGACTTCTGTGTTCTCATCAAAGTCAATTCTGAAGAGGGTCTTGAGCTCCATGGCCTTAAACCTTTTGTCACAAGAGATAACACACACACACACACACACACACAATTAATTAATTGCAGTTCCTCTGAAGGAAATGTGGACAAATACATTTTCGATCCCTGAGCCATTGTCTTGAACTTAAAACACTGTAATCATCTTTGTGATGTATATTTTTAATTATACTTGTTTACACCTACAATTTCCTTTTAGGTCTGTTATCAAATATTAGAGAAGGAGAACCAATAGATCAAGAATCTGGAACCAACCCCAAAAAACTCCCAAAGGAGAAAGGTAACACCATATTTTTTTTATTTTTCTCATGTCAAGATGATTTTTAGACTTCATTGCTGCTTTTTAACTGTAGGTTGAAATCAAAAGGTCTGAAATCAGAACGATGTAATTTCGAAAATGGTTTGGATTGGGTGATATTTGCATTCACCTCAGGTATTTTGCCATATAACTTGGGGAGGGGAGCAGCAAGACCTGCCCCCCTCTTCTACACTCCTCAAAGTCCTCACTATATGGTCCCATATCTGGTAGAATTTTATTGGATGGACAAAGTCCTGCTTGCTACTCATTTTGCGCTCGGCAACTGGGTTCTTTTGCTCAGTTTTCTTCAGCATGTTTTTATTTATTTATAAGTCTTAGAGCCACCTGAACCCCAACTAACTGTGGGCAGTAACTTATTGGTTGGTAGGATCCCAGTATCAGAATTTAATCCTGGTTTTGCTGAAGCTCCTTGACTTCTATAGATTCAGGGAGGAAGCATCACTGAACCTGACTTTTTTTAAAAAAAGATGGTAAATTGTTTTGCAGTCTATAATATGAATGGGTAAAAGAAAACCCCACACCTAGGGATGGTTTAAGAACTCACACATACTTGATTATAACTTCAGTAGTTGGCAGAGAGTTGCGTTCTTCAATGTATCTCAGTGACATCCAGTTTTGCTGATTCAGATTAAGCCTACTAAATAACGCTAATCGTTCTGGCAAAAAACACGCCATCTTATCCAGTCATCTGTCAGTTCAGAAATACTTAAGAGTGATCACGTCAGGGTTGCGGCTTCAGTGAGTTCTCCAACTTCTTTGTGTTTGCATTAATTGTATTTTACATTTGCAGTGAATTGTGTTTCACGTGAATGTAATGTAACTAACTGTACTAATGCATTTGCATCAATGATAGCGTGTGTTTTGCATTTTTGAATTTCAGTTCAGTTGCTTGCATTTTATTGATTTATTACCTGCATTTTAGCCCCTCTGTGGCTTTGTTTCAAAGGCGGCTTGAAGTCATAAAACCGTTAAGGAAAAAACAGGCTCTATCACTTTTATCTTTATCAAGGCCAATATTGATGATGATGATCATCATCATCAAGAATTTAGGAATTCATTATTGAGGGGATATGTAGTTAACACAAAAGTATCGACATTTATTAAGTATGGCAAGTCAGCAATTTACACAGGCATGGTAAACATATGTTTTCACATCTGGTTTCAGTAATATCATCATGATTTTGAAAATGATTTATAGCTCTCTGAGCCATAAACTGCCAGCTTTGCTGTAACTTAGGAGTTTTTGTGAGATTGAGCTAATTATTGAAAGCATGTTCCAGTGGCAGGCTCAGGGGTGGAGAGGGGATGAGAGGCTACCTCTCCAAATAACATACCGAGCTTGTCCTGGAAGAGGGTCACAAGAGATCATCTGTGAAAAGATCATCATTTTTCTTAAAATTGAGAAAATTAAAAGAGGGGAGAAGCCATGTAGAAAATGTAAAATAGTAATAAGATATGGAATAGAATATAAATATGAGCATGAACCTGAATTTGCGTCTGTACGAAGAAATGTAACCCGGGATTATGCTGCTTTCAAAAAAGATGTTTTACTTGTATTTCTTTTCTTTTTGTGAAAACTCAAATAAAATTTACAAAAAAAAAAAAGATTATCCGTGGAAAGTACCCTGCAGGAGCTTAGCATTGGTAGATCTTTCTGCAAGACGTAATATATGTGGATGATGTGATTTTGTTCATAGGCATGTAAAAGAACTATCTTCCCATGGAATTCCACAGCACTCTCTTCGGGAGTGAGAATTTTGCTATTTTGCATGAACTATGATTGCTTTGGGCTGTGCAAATCCTTTGGAAAGTTGTTTTCCCTACATAGCAGTATGTCCAAAGCTTCTTGACATCTGGTATGTGGGGATGATCTTTGCAAGACAGTGGAAGAGATGCTGCTGAGGGAATGATCAGACAACGGGTGGTGGAGTCTGCAAATACATAATGAACAGAGAAAGAAATTCAGAAAGGAACAGTGGGAGAAGAGGCAGAAGTTGAAGGTGGAGTCAAGAGAGGACTCAGCTTACGGTTGTTTCATGATCACAAATGGTCTAAGTCCAACCCCTCTTGAATTTTTTGCGAGATGGGAAAGAGATGCTGCTTAGGGAATGATCAGATAAGGGGTGGAGGAGCCCGCGATAACGAACAGAGAAAGAAGCTCACAGTGGTAGAAGAGGCAGAAACTGGGGGTGGAGTCAAGAGAGGATTCAGCCTAGAGTTGTTACGTGATCGCAAATGGTCTAAATCCAACCCCTTTTGAATTCCATTAACCCCTATCTAGAGCTAAGCTCAGCCTTAGTTGACTAGATTCTTGTGAATAGGTGTGAGCAATATGAGCAATAAATCTTCTGAATTTGAATTTACATACCTGACATTAACCTCCTACAACAGCTTATGGCCTACTGTTGACCTGGAAAGCTGGAGAAGTTACAGATCATGGGATTTTACCCACAGGTGTATTTCTCTACCATTCTTTCTTGGGATATTCTTTGTTTACAGTGAGAATTGGTGGGAAAACAACGCTGATGGGTTTTTGTTTCTGTCTAGTTCGAGCTTAGTTAAACAAGTTTAGAATAGAATATTCTTTATTGGCCAAGTGTGATTGGACACACAAGGAATTTGTGTCTTGTGCATAAGCTCTCAGAATACATATAAACAACAAAGTGATAAATCATAAATGATAATTGCCTAAATAATTGGAAATCCTCTTTCTCTGCAACCAGAGTGCACATAGTGAAAAGGGGAGGGGTGGAACGAAGAAACAAAGTACATTGATTTTGGATGAAAACTTGAACTACTAGACAGTGTTTGTGGGGGGAAATGTTAATTGTGTGAAAGAGATATGGGGTTGACTGGTTTTTAGAGAGGAGGGTTGTGACAGATTTCCCCCCTAGTTAGTACCAAAGGTGCTTTTTGAAAAGGCAACTAGAATTTGTTTTTTTCTTAAAGAGGTTTCACTTCTCATCCAAGAAGCTTGTTCAGTTCAGTCAGAAATGAAGAAGCTTCTTGGATGAGAAGTGAAACCTCTTCAAGGAAAAACAAACTCCAGTTGCCTTTTCAAAAAGCAACTTTGGGACTAGCATGAGCAAGATAAGGGGTCTCCAACCTTGGCAACTTTGTGGACTTCAACTCCCAGAATTCCTCAGCCAGCATAGCTTCTGGGAGTTATAGTCCACAAGTCTTAACATTGCCAAGGTTGGAGACCCCTGACCTAGATGACTGAGAATCTCCATAGATAACCCCCTAGTTAGCTTCTTTTATGATCAAAAAGATGATAATATGTTAGTGGAAACACAAAATATTTTTTTTAATTAAAGCCCAGATTGAATTTGGACATAATTTATCTTATTAGATTAAAGAGGGAGGGGGGAACCCCATACAATATGCTAATTTGGGGAAATCTGTCTTCATTCCATTCAAAATATTTGGCTTGCACCAACTTCCTTTGCACCGGGTGTGTTTTTCTTTGAAAGGTTTTATTTTGTGCAATATTGCCATGTTTAATTTTACTTTCAACCGTCCATAGCATCTGTTAATTACCGCTTTCCAAAAAAAACAAAACCTTTGGAAATCATTTTTTGGGAAGGTGGGAAATTAACAACACTCTTTCAGACCAATCGGTTCTATTTTTTTTTTATTTTTGAGTGGGGAATGAAAATTAATGAGTCAAGATAAGAAGAGACCAGTGTTTTGGCTTGGGAATGTAATCGCTTTTTCTTTTTTCTTTTTTAAACTTTCCTATTGATGCTGGACGCCATGTGCTGTTTCATGTGCTTGCCCACACCAGATTGTCCAAGACGAACCAACCATCATGGACAAATATATTAGCATATGTCTTTTGTTTATCATAAGCCAAGCGAAGAGCAGCAACAGAGTACCTATGCAACAGGCTAAAACCCTAGGGACTAACAGATGGAAAAGGGGAACTGATATTCAAGGTTTTGTTCCAACCAGAATGTGGTGTTGATAAAAATCCAGCTAGCCTTTAAGGTTGTTACAAAGCTTTGTAAATAACTGTTGTTTTGTTTTTTCCTTATTTTGTTGTTGTTATTAAAATATTTATCCCTCATCGTACAACTGCAGAATGAGCATAAGGCTACCCATAAGGATGAATCATATCAGTAATAAAAGAGCTTTGCTTAAAATAAAAAGGATTTAAAGCAAAGCTGTCAAACTCGCGGGCCATGGGCTAGATGCATCATGCACTGACCACGCCCGGTTTAGTGAAGGGGGGGAAAGTTTGACACGACCCCTGACCTAAAGGATTAACATAGAGATGAATCTGCTATCCCTAAGAATTTAATATTGAGTAACCAGTTTTCTCCATTTACTTTCTCAGTAACAACAGCTTCAATTCTGCCCAAGTATTATCTTTTATTGTCTTTTGGGTTGTCAAGAAAATGTTGTTATTGTTTGACTTTTTTCCAGAGTTTTTTCTGAAAGTCCTATTATCCTGCTGGCTGTATCTCTTAGCTGTAGAAAGTGTTTAGAAATAAACACTGTTTTCTGGTAGATATTTCATTACCAAACTAGATAACCTCATCAGTGCTGATGAATAACATTGATAATGTTCCCTAGTTGGGTTATGAAATGTCTGCAAAACGACCACACAGTCCTTCTCCTCCTCCTCCTCCTCCTCCTCCTCCTCCTCCTCCTCCTCCTCCTCCTCCTCCTCCTCTCTGCACATCCCATTCTCTTCTAACATTGATGATGTTCCCTAGTTGGGTCATGAAACAATCAATCAACCAGTGGACACACCTTGCCTTCAGAAATTGTAGGCATTCCATCACTGGGGAGGCTTTTAAAAAAGAGACTGGGCTACATTTGTCTGAAGTGGTAAACTGTGTTCTGCTTGAGCAGGGGGCTGGACTAGAAGACCTCCCGAGGTCCCTTCCAGTTCATTCATTCTATAACCTAAAAGACCAGCCAATGGCTGGTTAGCATAACAAATATACTCGCTG